CTGTGAGGGTTATGGTGACCCCGTGATATCCTTCTCTGAATCCGCTGCCTAAACAAGACATGTGATGCCTTAGGCAAAAATTACTCATGCTTCCCGATATCATTGGTTTTTACTCTTGTCTTATTACTTCCGTGCGGCAGAGGTAGTCGGCTGTTACAAAAAATAAGTGAATGTTCGGGCTCTGCTCCTGGCCTCTTCTCTAGCAGAGCACCGCGACTTCTAAACCTTGGAAACATCCGCAAGCATAGCTTAAAAATAAGTTTATATCCGTACCAGTCTTATCTCGCAAATGGACCCACTCGGGGGTTCGAAGACGGAAATCCGGATCAATCGAAAGACATCTGACCCCATCTCGGCATGCCGACCGGAATTTGCACAGCATGCACTCGTTCCGGCCCTCGAAATCGGCAAGCAACCATTCTAGAAGCTCATGTGTACATAAGCCCACGGCTACCGAACATGTAGATCATCACAAAAGATTGTTCGTAACACCATGGCAGACACACAGCAAATCACCGGACGCGCCCTAGTCTCTCACGGCCCCTACCAGGCCGGCGGTTGGAAGCTTCAGAACGTCACCCTGCGACCCCTGCGAGAGAACGAACTGCTTGTTGAAGTGGTTGCCTCAGGTGTCTGCCAGACTGATCTGCATTTTGCTGGTCTGGAGAATGGCCATGGCGTACATTATCCGCGAGTGATGGGTCACGAAGGTAATTACTCTCTCCCTTTATGCTAATGCATTTGTAAGAGAACCTGACGATAGGATGAAACACCCCTCTATAGGTGCCGGATATGTTCGTCAGGTCGGGCCCAACGTCACCGCAGCCCGAGTCGGCGACCCAGTGCTCTTATCGTTCTCCGCATGCCAGACCTGCCAATGCTGTCGTCGAGGTCATCCTGCACACTGTCCCAATTTTGATCCTATTAATTTCGAGTCCACTCAAGCAAACCGCGTCTTCTGGGACGCTGATGCGGACTTGTCAACAGTCTCTACGGAGCCGAACATTTTTGGACAGTTCTTTGGGCAGTCGAGCTTTGCTAGCTGGACACTAGTGCAGGAGGAATCGGTGGTGAATGTCTCCGGGCTGGTGGAGGGAAGGGAGGACCTTCAGCTGCTGGCGCCATTGGGATGTGGTGTCCAGACAGGTGCAGGTGCTGTTATCAAGGCAGCAAACGCACAGCCCGGGGATACTGTAGCTGTTCTCGGGTTGGGAGGTGTTGGGTTGAGTGCGGTGATGGGAGCGCGTATCGCCGGTTGCAGGACAATCATCGGTGTGGCGCGAAATCAGGCCCGTCTTGAGTTGGCGCTGGCGCTTGGGGCAACGCATGTTGTTCGAATCGATTCGAATTCTGATGAACATCATGTAACAGAGGCGGTTCGTGCCCTTACTGATGGTCTAGGCGCAGACGTGACGTTGGAGACTACAGGGGTGCCGAATTTGATCGCCAAGGGCATTCGCATGACAGCTAACAAGGGGAGGATTGTTCAGCTTGGAACAGCGCCGGAAAATGCAGTGCTTAGCATTCCCATTCATGAGTTTATGGTCGCTGGGAAGCAATATATGGGGGTTGTGGAGGGAGACGTTGTCCCTAGAGAATTCGTGCCTGAGATGATTGAGTGGGTCAAGGCGGGACTACTTCCTTTGCATGAAATGGTGGGCTTTTATCAAGCAGAGGACTACAGGACAGCGATAAGCGACATGAAGAGTGGGAAGACCATCAAACCGGTTCTTTTATGGTAAACATACTGTTTGGCCTTTCAGTCCCACTGTGTGCTTACTAGTTTCCTTAATCCTAGTCTAGCTCATGGCAGACGAAATATACTCCTAATACTTCAGACGTTTCCAGTATCGGCAGCCACCAAATATTGAACTACTATATACTTCACTATTGCAGCAAGCACTGGATTCCACAGCTTCGTAAAATATGAAACATATAGCGATTGAACTCCAATAAGTCCTCTTCCTCGCTCTGATACGGAAGATATAGATTCAAATGCCTCCTGGTAATCCCAATCAGTTGTTTTAGAAGTCTGTTCGCTTTCATGATTAGTTCGGTTGACATATGTTTAATAAAGGGAGAACAAAAAAAAAGTTGGTCACTGCCAATCGAAGTAGGGGTGACGTGAAAGCGAGATAGAAGTGGGTTAGAATTATGTAGTGGTACGGCCCAGCTCGATCGGTGTCATTTCTTATATGTCATTATGTCGAGATTTAGCCGATGGCATGATCAGGTAGGAGGTTGCCTAGCTTTAACTACCAAAGGCTTTCCCCCTATTTGTTCTCCACGGAAAGTTACGCCAAACGTGTACCCGGTGTTGGTATTTCGGCTTGGTTTAACCCACCAACATGGCCCACCGACCGCGGAGACGAAGCCGCGAGGGTAACATTGTCAATTCAGGAGCCCTCATTATCTAGTCAACGGATACAAGAGCCTGGATCAGATAATTGATGTAGCTGGAGCTAAAGGGCCGGTGATCAAGGGTCTCCTATCCTTCCGTGTCCTATCTATCAGTTCACATCTCGGTCATTGACTCGCTCAGACCCTTGAAACACTTCGTCTGTTCGACTCACTCCTAGACGGCTGTACAGCCAGTGTGAGGGCCCATGACACGCGGGAAGGGTGCTTGGATACGTAATCAGGCCGCCGATCCTTCCCCGTACTCCTCAGTCTATCTGCGTGACATATACTCCTTCGCGAGCCGAATCTAAAGCTTAACGGCGAGTGGACCTGAACCAGGAGTGACAACTTTATTTATAATATAACTGGAAGCTCAGTCCTCAACAGAAGAAGTTGAACCAAATACTTCGCGGGTTTCCGACTTGTTTACAAAGTACACCCACGTGCCCCAAGAGCACCTTTCTGAATGCGTCTGCAGTCCGTCCTTTGACCACTGGGTGAGCTAGTCCTTTGGCATCCGCATATGATACAATATCTTTCCCTCTTCTTTCTATGCCTTCATTACTATTAGAACTTCAAGCATGCGTGGACAAAACCACTCGTAGCATACACTACTCTAGTCGATATTATAGTATATTATATTATTCTTCACCCCTCTCCCCCTTAACATCTAATCCCTCTACCACTATACCCATCACCAATATTTCATAAGAAATCCGACATGCTGTTGAATCAAGTCCAGTCCTGCTCGACTAAAACCCCCAAACGCCTCGCTGAAAGGCAGCACAAGTTGTTGAAAACGCTAAAATGATATTATACAAGTCAGTAAAATTAAGCCGTCTGCGGCTCGACCTCGCCATCATCGACGGCCTTGGCGGTATCCTCCGCGCGAACCTCCACTTCATGGGTATGCTCGAGCTCGGAGATGATAATCCACGTGGGGATCACGCAGAGCAGGGTAATGCCGAAGTTAAGGCCAATGCTGACGAAGTGGTTGGCGTTGCCTTCGGATTGCATACTAGATGAAGTTCGTTAGCTAGCTGGTTATACTTTTCTTAGATACGGGAAAGGTATGGGACTCACGCCCAGGCAACAGTCTGTCCCAGAGCCTCAAATCCACGGAGAATACCGCAGTGGTGAGACAGGGACGAAATATCGGTGGTGTACTGCCCGACAAGCCAGTAGAGGAACTGTTGGAAAGCCTGTCCACCGAAGGACCAGAAGAAAACAAGAGCGTATGTCTTGCCGAACCCGCCCTTGAACCAGTCAAAGACTGGGTTCGTGTATTCGTAGTAGAACTGGTACTGCAGGATGGTGGCCCAGATCCAGGTGCCTACGAGCACGAAAATGAGCGAGGCGAACGCTATGCGGGCCCGCGTCTTGATGTGGATAGACTGCTTGTCCAGCAAGGTGGCAATCAGGAAGGAAGACGTGATGCCGGCGAAGTTGGTGAAGAAAGAGGAGAAAGCCCGGGAGCGAACAGTAAAGTAGTCGGTCAGCCATGTGCTCTGGAAGCCGTTGTAGAAGTAGCTGATGAAGAAAGCCGGCATCAGCATGGCAATACGGCGGGTGAAGAGCAGCGAAATGACGGCTTTGAATTCGGCCATCCACGTGGCTTGCGTGTGAACGACAACCAGAGTCCGGTCTTTACGTTGGACTTTCTCTGCTGGGCTTAGGCACAAACCGATAGGAAGTCCGAGGCACATGAGCACGATGAAGACGATGTACGTGCTTGCACTGACGGTTCCCTTGCCAGAGTTTTGAGCATTAAGGCCCAGTTCGATTGCACCACCGACGATAGGGCCTGCAGCTTTGGCGGTTTGCCAAATCGCTAGAGAAGCTGTTAGATGCCATGACCAGGACCCAATCCAATAATCCGGTTACTCACCTAGGTAGAACGCTCTATCCTTGGGACTAGGGTACCCGATAATGATGGCCGCTTCAGCAGCCCAGAAGAAACCAGCCGAAATACCACACAAAGCACTTCCAAATAGCAGAAACCAGGTCGTCGGCGAGTAGTTGTTCGTATACAGACCGGCACCGTAGATAGGGTAACCGATGGCGCCCAGCGCCAGGCCATAGCGAAGCCCGATACGGTTGTTGATGGCGCCGGCAGCGATACAAACCACTGCGAACAGTCCATACAGCAGGGCATTTGCAGCTGAGACAGCATACGGCTCTGCGGCACCTCCAGCACCCAGGTTGTTCAAGGCATCCCACATGCCCGGAGCAGTGAAGGAAACACCACTGGCGATGGCGATCTGGAAGGGGATCGACCGGACCACCGACAGGAAGCGGTTAGTCGGCTGGGGTGAGGCCATGGTGATGGAACCTTTAGAAGGGCACTCGCCACGTGGTTGATCTGATCTGATAACTGAGAAGAAGAAAGTCTCGATATTTGGGCAAAATTTGGGGTTGGGGATGAACGAGGAGAATTCGTATTGTGGGTGGGGCTGTGGATATTGCGTGATTGGAGTCAATGCCAAGTCATGACAAATGGAAATGGGAATATGGCGACATCGTGTCGGGATTGTCAACCTGTTGCTCGAGAAGTCGAAGTCATGCTTGTCTACGTTGTACGTTGGAGTTGTTCACCATGATATCACACGGCGTGGGATCAGTCGCCGCATCGGTGCCCTTTGGGGGCGATGTTCAGGATTTAACTAAGGATTTCTAGCTTTGGGGGCTCCACAATGGCCTGTCACCCACTCTTCACCACCTCTAAAAAAACATTGGCGCACGCCAAAGGATTTAAGACATTATTATTGTTGGAGCCCATTGTCATATACTTGCTCAGCCTGGGCAAGAAAAGTTTTGAGTCATAAATATTGGCGGTAACAAATGAGGCAGAGATTTCAAAGGGACGGGCGGAAGTTCTTGGCAAGTAGTCGGCATTTGGACGGTTCCTGAGACTAGGCCATCGGGATCCCGGTCATAAGCGAGGCCACGCCCTTCGGACCCAAAACATCCTCAAGATGCAGCCAAGACGTCACCAGCCCGTCGGATTCGCCCGCATCATCAGCAACCTCATCTTGAATCGGCTTTTTGTTCTTACAAAATACCCTCAGCTCTTTGCATGCCACATCACCATTTTTCTTCAGGTATTCACGCATGACGTCGCCAGAGCTCATAACAATACGACTCACTAACTCCACGTCCCCCGATCCGAGTCCCATTGAACGCGCGTTTTGCGCCGAACCTCGCGCGACATGGTGGATGAGAAGGACAATGTTGGGGATGAAGGACTCATCAGGCATGTACCCAGCTGTAAAATATTGAACAAATTTGTGATGCTCTTTCTCTCGGATCAATCGCAGTAGCTCGATGGAACGTTTGTGCATGCCGAAGTAGTTGTACAAGATGACAGGCTCCTCTTCGTAAAGCTTGGTCTTCAGGAAGGCCAAAAGGTGGAGTGTGTCAATGTTGCGGTTATTCGACCACTTTTGGGTAATCGAGAGCTCCGCATTAGCTCTGAGGGGCTCCTTGCAGGACGAGGATTCAAGCTTGGATTCTTGTGAGAGCTCGTCCAGGATCCGGTCAATGTTGACGATCCCGGCATCTTCCGCGAGACCCTCGACATACTTTGGGGAGAACAAGTTCGCAACTGCAGTGGTAGGCTTGAGCAAGCGTGGATTCTTGCCATCCGGTTTATGAAAGGGTTTACTCCGGGAATCGCGCGCAAAATTGGCAGCAGATGAGATGCCTGTGGCCAGTTCAAGCCTGTTTAGCGATTCACCGGCGTTCTGGGGCCGTGAACCAATGAAGATATGAGACTCGCCATGAATCTTGATGAAAGCATCCATATCGGGCCATCTCACATCCTTGTGCGTAGCATAATTGATAACGAGATTGTGCAAGAAAGCCAGCTGTTGGACGTCATACCATTGGGTGACAAGCTGCTGGCCCACACGCTGCATTCTAATATTGAGGTGGAATAATATCAGTCCGCAGAGGATAGAGTGCTGCGATAAAAGCGCATGCTTCTCAGGCGGTGATCCGGTTTTGTCGAGTCCAGACAGGACCCGAAGATTGAGGAACGCGTCTTGTATGATCCAGGAGTCTACGGTAGAACTAATACCTTGAATCTCCTCGTCGCCCTCCTTTGCCCAAAACTTGGGCTTGGGGTGTGTTTTGGACAGCTTCAGGTAGTCATCAATGACCTTCTGGATGCGCAGTCCCGACATCCGAAGGTCTCCAAATGCACCCAGGGTACTGTGTCGCATGATGTGATGGATGTCGAGGAAAATCTGGGAGGCAAAGCATAGCCATAGAGTAACTTTTCTGTTCTTGGAAAATTCAACAAGACCTTGCGTGATAGCGTCCGAGGTAGGCGTCCTGAATTTGAAAGTGTCAAACATGCAGAACTCGGGCAAAATCGAAAGAAGGATTATCTTGTCTTCGTTGAACTTTTGGCCCACAGACATCCGCTCCCTGTTCGCCTTTGGGTTATAGGTACCGAAATAGCCCTTTTTGAAGACTGGTTGATGATTGTCGTGGAGGACATTGGCAAAGGCGTCAAGCAGAACCTTGGTAGGCACATAGCACCAATCGGCTACATCAGCCATGTTCTTGTTGTATGGCAGGCCAACCTCCGTGGATGGAGCTGCGGAGATGCCCCGGCTCATGACGGCGAGATTGTAAACAAGTGTCTGAATATCATTTCTTGCCGGCGTGCGAGTAGAGAGCCAGTCAGCCTCTACCTCCTTCACCATATCTCGGGCAAGTTGCAAGGCACTGTCCGTCACGACAGCGGCGTTCATAAGGTCGATTTTCTTATCCCGGTACTCCGACCAAGTGATGGAAATAAATTTCCGTATGTTGTTTAAGTCTCGCAGTAGACACAAGGTCTTGAAGAGCAAGTGACCAAGGTAGGAGTCGGCTGCCTCATTTTCCTCCTCCACAACCGTGACCTTGACAACCTTCTTCGATGCTGCGGGCGCCGATTGAGTGTCTGGGATATCCTCAGGTTCCTCCACCGTGAGAACAGCAAACTTGTTCAAGAACTTGTCAGCATCTGCGTCGTCATCTTGAACCTCGGGCATTGAATGTGGCTGCTTAGCATCTGTCTTGGAGGGTTGGGCGGTCTTCCATTCAAGGGTGTCGCAAATTTGCTCCAGCGCAGTGATAAAGTGAGCATGGCGCTTATTGTTCGCGATGTCGCCACGACCCAAGAACCATGAAGTGACCGTTTTCCTCAATTTGATGGCGCGTTTGGCGATGGTGATGACTGATTTCGGCACGATCAGAGAGGAACCGGCAATCACCTCGGCGAACTTTTGTAGGTCTTTCGTAGTAGCAGTGTATTGAATTGGATGTTCGTTTGAGCCATCCGTTTTACCTTCACGCTTACTCTTGTTCGTCGTAGGAATGGTAGCAGAAAGGGTAGGCCGATAGCCACATTTGTTGGCAGTCTCTAGTAGCCATGTTGCGAAGGTATTAGTATCTGCTTTGTAGCGAGCGTAGCTACTCTGCAGGAATCCAGGTAGCATAATGGCGATTGTTGATGGGCCGAGACTAAATAGTAGCGGATATCTGGTCGAGGAGACTAGTCTAGCTCTAGACCCAATGACAAGAAAGGAATGGAGACGAAGAATGCTTCAGAACCCTGGATTTGGAAGTTTGTGTGGATCTTTGTTTGCTTATGTCATTGCTGTGGCCCACCGAAAGATCACATGATTGTAGCGATCCCCGGGCTAACCGGAAATGGCAAGGCATCCCTTGCGCCTGAATCAAACTTTCGCAAGCTTGACTTCTCCAAAGATTCATTAGTTATTCAATGTCGATATGGACGCTGACTAACGATTAAGCAGCACTTCAACTCAGTCTTTCTGTCAGCATCAGCGAAGTGGTACAAGCGCCGCCCGGTGTGAGTTGGATTGCGCTAATGTGATGACAATAACCTTAGCCTCTAGTCTCCTCCGTACTAGTCATCTAGCACTTTGTAGATTGTCAGATGGCGCCCAAGATAACCTTTGGCGGCGTTGGACTGGGATGCACGTACATCCGGCTCTTCAAAACGATGGGTAAATGATTAGGGATGACACTGGAAACAATTATGCTAGGGTCACGTACTCACATGAAAACACTATGAGAGCAGAATACATACCCTCCGAAATGGACATATGCATAGAAGACTGACCATCAGCCAGATAGAACATTTCGTAGCATTTCTATGCTGGTGACACGCCGATGGACTACCAAGAAAAACTTGGCGCCAGGATGCGAGCCGCTCCCTACATTGACCATAACGTGGGCCGCATATCTGGGGCCGGTTTGCTGGAAGTGAAATCCAATTCTAAGTGGTGCCCTGGTTGTTACACCGCGACGTTCCACCAAAAGTACATATCGTTTCAATTGCTTGCTATATCGGTGACTTTACTTGTTGGATTCTGCCTAATAAAGGGAGGAGTCCCCAAAAAATATAAAAAATAAAAACATACAACAGAAGGGATTCGCTGGTGGTCACCCACCCAACTACTAACCTCCCGGCGTGTGGCTTAAGTACGGCTGAGCGGACGGGAAGCCCTGTTTTCCACACCCTGTGGTCGTATGTACTTGCTTCTGTTCGGGCTCGGGTAATATAGTGTCCTGCAGAGTTTACTGCTTGGAAGCGTTGCTAATGATCGCGGAGCCCGTGAAGTAAGTAGGTGGGTACGGGAAGCCGAAATTAAGTCACTCTGATAAACCTTGAATATCAACAATTCCAAGCGCTTCTACGAGCATTCTCCGATGATGGCCAAGAGCATCGTACTACTAGTCATTGACACAGAAATCTAAATTTTGTATTACCACAAATGGTGGTGGTGGACAAAGCAAAACTACTACTGTTCGTGGTTATATATAGTATCATCCGGGGCCAAGGCCGGGAATGTAAATCTTGGATTTAGTTCTATCCCGAGGCCACCCTACCAGCGCAGGATTGGGATCACCAAACCATCATCAACGAACAGGCAATTTGTTTTCATTGCCGAGTCAAATTAGGAACAGACGAACAGAGCAGAATGAGTCGTCAAGAGATGAAAATGGGTTAGAAGTATGCAACTGTACAACAAGCTGAAACGCGAACCAACGCCAATCCCGGAAATTAGCTACTAATAATCCAATGCTCATGACATCCTATACGCCTTCGTCTCGCCCATTTTGTTTCTGCTTCTTCTTCTCCTTAGCCTCCGCATCAGCTTGTTTCCACGAGCCCGCGTAGTGATGCGTAACCAGCGCATCTCCTTGATCCTGGGGGTATCCGTTCTGGGACGCCGCAAAGGACACACCAGGCATGACTAGGACATCTCCAATGAGCTTGGGTTTCTTGATCCCATGAAAGTCGCGATCATCAACCGTCCGACCCAGCAGCTTCTTCAGACTGTCAAGGATTGCGATTGTCATGATCTTGGGCCCCGTCACATTAACAACATCGATGGGCAGCATTTCTAACGTCAGGTCTTTCACCTGCACCTTATTCATTAGAGCGATCTCATTGATCTGGGCTACAACAGAGTCCACCACCACCTGAAGGACGCGTGATGAGCGGGGTGCCGCGAAGACCCAGTTGCAGAACTGCGATGCGACTTCCGTTCCTTCCCCGCGCCATTCAAAATCGAACTCCAAGCCCACGATCATCTCGATCTTTGCATTCTTGTATTCAGTTGGAACCCAATCAGCCACGGGCTTATCGCAGGTAACGTCCAGATCACTCCAGACACCCCCCTCCGCGAGCACGAGCAGGTATCGCAGGAGATCCGCTTTCAGGATCGGGATCGGGAGGGTCTCGAAGACCTCGATAATATCTGGTCGCGAGGCATAATGAGTACGAACGAAGGTGGCAGCGGAGGCATCAGTCAAGAGCTCATATCGGAAGGATGGGTTCTTTTCGAGCCAACTGCTGATCCATTCGTCTTGGTCGTCGCTCAGGTGGGGATTCTTGGCGGATTGCCAAAGCTTGTCGGTTATACCGAAGATAGCATCACCACCAGCAATGTCAGCAATCGGGTTCGAGGTGGATGGATTACTGGTAGATACTGGTGGTTTAGGGCGCGATGCTTCTTCTTTTGGAGGCTCGACTGGTTGTGGTACCTGAGATACCGGATCGGACTGTGACGTTGTCGGGGCTTGGGATTGCTGACGGAGTCGGCCCGGCAGTGGGTCCCACGTCAAGAAGAGCAGGCAGCTGAACACGAGCAGCGGGATCGTCAAGATAACAAAGCGCCCATAGCGCGAAGATTTTAGGGTGGAAGGGAGCATCGATGTTGGGCGAGATGAGGTGCTTTCATGGGGATGGGTGTTTAGGTGAGGAGAGATGAGAAATAATCTCGGCGCTCCAGGCCCCAGCGGAGAGCCGTCCATCTGTTTAAAAACAAGGTGGGATTACTACCATTGCCACGGTTCGAGGATCGCTCCATGATGGCTTAGCGCGGGCGCTAACAGTCAGGGAAATTGAGTTTGTGCTCCCACCAGGGTCATCAACGGTTTGTCTTGATTGGAGGGCAAAAAGATCCTTAGTCTTACTAGTGCCGGGTGTCACCGGAGAGGTGTCGCGAGGCTTTTAATTTACTTGAGAGGCACCGGCCCACCGCTAGTTGAATTGGTCAGAATCCTGGGAGGCCTGTGGCCTCGCTAGATAGTTATAATGCCATACCCTTGGGTTGCTCGAGCATTAAAGTGTGGCTGTATCACGCCCACGCGAGGTTTCGCTGCGCCAAGGCTCTGTTAGCCGGCATTAAGATACTAGTGGTGCCTCTTAGTGATGTTGGACAAGGAACGAATACATAAGCGCAATCTCCGCACAGGAAAATGAATAACCCGTTATATCTGGTAGTCTTTGTTTGGGCCCATGCACATCCTCCATATGTGAGGTGAGAGTATCCAAGGATCCAGTTGAATCGTCGGGTCTGTGAAATGATGGTGCGGCTTTTGATACCTGAAGTCCCTGCGGTATGGCAGGTACTCTCCTGGGTGATGCTGCTCTCCCTCCCGGGAAGCCTTGGTCAGACAACCACATTGTTTACTTCTATTCAGGACAGTCCCCATTTTATGGGATGGTATCTGGGAACGACCAGTCAGTACTTGTTCACCACCTCGGTGCTATTCTGTTTGAGCTGAACATCATCGCTTACCCTGACTGTCAATTGCAGCCCAAGCCCTAACTGATGCGGGCACTTGGTCGACCTCCGGGCAATATGCAGCCGGCTGCACCCCTTCTGTCACCTGTTCCTGGGCCACCGCATGTAGTGGGAACATACTTTACTACGATGTCGACAATAAAACCCTGGACTGGTATGTCTGAAATCATCAAGTTTAAACGTTGAGACACGCTGTCGCTAATACACAACTCGACCTTATGTCTGACTAGTGGTTCCGAGTCCATGTCATGCCAAACCATGACCATCTATCAATCCGAACCCTACGCTACACCATCCGCATACAACCTCTTCTGCGCTGACTTTTGGTCTGCGTACACAATCTATCGAGAGCTGCCCGCAACGACGACCTCAGCCACATCAGCTACCTCAGGTATATCCCATCTTATTCCATTGCCTCTTAGACACAATGAGACTCACCAGAACTTTGCCACATAGAATCTACAGCCAGTGCAACCACCGCCCCGATCACCTCCATGGCCACACAAACCAGTTCCGCGACCCAAACCTCGACCGCTTCACCGTCTTCAACATCCACATCTTCTTCCGGAAAGAGCCAAGCGTGGATTGCGGGCCCTGTAGTCGGCGCTGTGGTAGGCGTTGGTGCTATTGCAGCCGCAGTGATCTTCTTCCTACGCCGCCGGATAACCCGAGGCCCTCAGGCCATGGAGTACCAAAGTGTCTCTCCGGGAGCGCGGACGGTTTCCGAGCTGCCGACAGAAAGCCTCACGGGGATGGTGCACGAAATGCCCTCTACCTCCACAAGCCGGGTGGGGCCATACGAGCTGAGTTGAAACCGGAATAATATTAACGATAATTATAATAATATCAAGCACTATAGTGGTAATTATGAGACTCTGTGCATGGCCTCAATGACTTTTTCGTGTGATCCTTTTCTCGGATCCTGGTCGACGCCACCTAACAAACCTGAGACCTGCTACACCCCCTTGCCATGGACAAGTAAATTTTCAGCCCCAAACTGCACAATGTCCTTTTTATATTCCTGGCAGTATATTAGCCGTGATATGCTGCTTCTCATATTGTAGGTTTGGCATGTACAGAGGTCCGATCGCCACTTAGCCGAATTCTACCCTATCGGTGCAGACACAAGATATTGCGAGGTAGCCAGATGCCTTTGTCCGTATATCAAACTCAATCATATTCTTAGCAATTGTATGCCTATGATCTTGAGATCTTTATTGACTTCGGATAGTTAGATCATTTCGTCTTAGTCATGCAGGTACTTGAAGGCCGCATAAGAATGGTTAAACAAGCTCGATAATTATTAGGTCACATGTGTGATTGGACGACTACGAGATATTCCCAGCAATTCATGAGTTAAACTGCTTCCGCGCACAGAAAGGCGAGCGAACAACCATCGCTATCCGAACAGACAGGGGTGGAGGTACAAGTTTTGGCCAGGGGGTGTTCATTTTAGCCAATAGACACTAGACACTTACAACGGACAATATAATAAGCGGCTAACAATATAATTTAGGGGTCACGATAGGGAGCGTAAAATTAACACGAGGCCCACGTTACACGCTAAATGTTGTGTTGCCCAAGCCTAACTTTGGGCGAGTCATGATTTGCTCGCGCTAGTGCTTACGCCTCCAATCCCTCCGAGCATCAGCCCTGGCTACTGATAACATCGATGGAACGTCCGATTTTAGGTTTTAAGCAGGCTGAGCCATGATCTCTGACGTCTATTAGCTGTACATGCAAAATATAGATTATATATATGAATCTTAGGCGGCTATACGTGAGTGTTCGATCAGTCGCTCATTGGTTGTGGGATCAACGCCCTGTCTGACAAGCTGTACTGTAAACGGAATGGTTCATTCATGGGGGTCATTATGGCGCTTGCGCTAGATTTATAATGAACAGCGATCGACATTGTAGCAACCATTATTCGTACGCTAAGTCAATTGGCTAGATTAGAGGAGATAAGTCAATTTTTGCTCTATAATTTTCGCCCCACTCAAACATGGCAGTCGGCTCCCGAATAAATTTCCCATGCTCATATACATGTCACTCTGAATTATCCGTATGATCATAGAATTTCCAAAGACCAAAGTGTCAATGTTTTCCTCGCACATGGCAACAATCTCCACCTATAGATTTGAGCCGCCTCTTTGATAGGTCATATCCCCTGAAACGTGCAAAAATTTCCGAGATTTTAAAAAACCCCCTCATGTCTAGGAAACATCGTATGTTGAATATATTGCCTTGTTATAAGCACCCCCCTCAATCGTTGTTTTTATCTCCATTTGAAGCGCCATATAGACAAGTCTAGGAGAGAACCCTACAAATACTACTATGCTAGAGTAGGAGATCAAGTTTTGCTAAGGGTCTTTGGCTATCATAACTAAAGGGTTAGGACTAATGTAGGATGGCCTTATATATTTTCAGTTCTGTTCAAGGACATCCTGTGATTGGCGTCATTGATCATCATCGCTTAATTTGTCATAGGTCCTCAATTGTATGAATATGTTCCAAACAGAAATTGTATATCTACCTAACACCCTTCCTTTGTCCTCTGAACCAATTCTCGAATTGTGTCTCCCAACTCATCGATCACTGGCCCTCCACGTGGAATGGTATGTCCCTTGCCAGTATCAAAGAAGTAAGCGCTATCAGTATCACAGATGTTGTATAGACAGTCCGCGGCTATCCTAAAAGGGTCTATTCGTGTAAAAGCGAGCCATTAGCCAACGGTCAAACATGCCCATATATCACAAGGGAAACACACCATTTGCGCCAACGATATGGACAGTGGGGAGGTCGATCATCTCCTCTTGTTCATCGGCAAATATAAATCCATTCTCCGCTTTGACTGGGGGGATCCCGGCGAGAAAGATCGCGCACTTAATCTGCCGCGTGCGGCCGGTCTCCCGCTCCCTCCTCTGTTCGCGCAAGATATATGCCGCCCCAACAGTCGCCCCTTCACTGTATCCCAGGAGACCCTCGATATCGGGATTTTTCTCCAGTATCTCTTCAATGTAACTCAGAACATCTTCATAGTTGACCCAGGAAAGCTCAGGAGGTATAAGCGATCGAAAGGTATCCTCTGGAGTACCAAGTTGTTTGTTTCGCGCCCCGCGGACAGTGTCGTAGATGGCATCAATACCAACGCCAACGTAATTCAGCCAGCGGTAGTGGGGTGGGTGACCAAAATATTCTATGTAGCCTGGGCTCTGTCAGCCATACCTCAGTTTATTCATAGATTGGTGTGGCGAACTCATGTCGCACCTCCAGGGGCAGTTGTGGTATGTGGCGCATTCACGCAATAAAATGAAGCGGTATTATCGTCCGCCAGGTTTTTCTGCAAAGGCCCTAGTCACACATGAGTTAGCGGCTGAGAGCCTCCCTGGTAGCAATCGTTCTCATACCTAACTGAGCACTGAGTGTCTGCGACTTGATATCAGTACAGTGGCGTATAGTATTCTTCGCAGAGAAAATTACGACTTACATCAGCACTGGTTATGGAGCCGTGGAGGCATAGAAATCGCATTGTTCTATAGATGGGGAAGAAAGTTCTTGGGTGAGGGTGTCTGCCACTAAAAGCGCAGTCGGTGCAAATACGATTCTACAGCCTTCATCATACGCGTGTACCCCTTCCTCGGGCTGCACGTCTCGAAGTCAATTATATACGAGCTAGATCACGTTTCTCACCAGCAGATCGGGCCCATAAAAGTGGTCATATACACGCAAGGGGTAGAAACTTAGATAGAAATATAAATTCCCAACCCCTTACTTATCTTATCCCTTCGACTACTCCGTCCTTCTGAACAAGTCCCGCACTGACTGCGCTAATTCACTGATCACCAACCCCGACCGTGGAAGAGTATGGCCTTTGCCCATATCAAAGAACTCGGCTGCATCAGGATCGCAGGTTTCAAAGAGCGCTTCCGAGCCATATCGGTAAGGGTCTGAATAATAAATAAAGTTAGCTGAATCCTGAAATGGAAAAATCAAAGTACATAAGAGAAAGGATTGTCGCTACCGTTCGCCCCTAGGACATGAAGCGTGGGAATGTCGATCATTTCATCCCCGCCGTCATCTGCAAGGATGAACCCCTTCGTGTCTCGCCTCATGGCCGGCCAGCCTCCAACGAACATGGCACACTTGATTTGGCGCTCGCGGCCGTCTTCGCGATGTCGACGTTGTTCATCGAGAATATACGTCGCAGCTGCCGCAG